TCAAGAATACCATATTTTACTATGGTGTTCTGAACGAGATCAAACCACTGATTAATGATCTCAGGATCCTCACATTTTGCACGCTGATAATCGTATTTGCGGGTATATTTTGATGTAAGATCATCATACCGTTTAATGAAGTTGCTGACCCAGTTCTTTCCAATGCCAGTAGATGGACCTGATTTCCGCTGAGATAATAGTAAATCTGCCATCTTGCGTACAATATCTTGAGTTGGGGGTAGGCCGCGATCATCCATATCTAGAATCCACTTCTTTAATGAGGCCTCTTCAAGATTGGTAAGCTTCTGACAGTTTACTGGTATATTGCTTCGCGCCTTTCGACCATTGATGCGATGGGCTAGAGTGGAATGTGGGACATCATATGCTGCTGCTGCCGCTCGTACACTTTTAAAATGACCGTTTTTATATGCTTTGACTGCAAGAGATATGCGATCTTCTAATCTGATGCTTGAGTCTGCTGGTTTCGATGCCATATTGGATAAAAGGCTGGATTTGATGATGATTCGATGGTGGTTGTAAGATTTCAGGGGTTGAGTGTCTCGCTCGGTTGGGTGTCTCGCTCGGTTGTGGATTACGTTAACTACTGTAATGTCGCTATCAGATTTGGTCATCATTGAAAAAGATGGCCCCTGGACGATTGTTTTGTAGAAGACCGGATTTGATGTGAGGCGTACCCTCAGGTCGCGCAGGGTTGAGCCTCTCAGAGAACCTCCGATTCCTTTGTAAAACACCTGATAAAGATAGGAATCCGAGCAAAATTGGTAGCGAAGATACTCCGTACCATATCCAACGAGCTCAGAGGCGAGCGACACCAGTTCAAAAGTTGAAGTGATCAAGCACAAAGAACCACTCGTTCGGACGAATGAAGAGCAGCAACTGGGAAACGATAAAGTATTGGCTGGAACCAGACTCCGACCGCCAGGGCGGTGAGCAGCAAATGCCGGCAAAATGCACCAAGTTTTCGATGGGCGTCAAACAGATGATGATCCCACACTTCTTGAATCTCCAGGGGAGATTGCAGCTGTGTTATGTGTTGATTCCTGGAGATGTCTTTGTTGATACAAAGGACGCACATTTCCCGTGGGATCGTCGGGGCGAGCCACTTGCTGAAGCGAAACCGCCTCATAACTGGGGCTACTCACACAAGTCGCTTGGGGCGCTTATTGAATTGTCCATTCCTCACTCGACGGCCGCTGAGTACAAATGTTGAGGTGAGTACTAACTGAGAATGCGTTATTGGCTTGCTCTGATAGAAATCTTGATAGTCTACCCCCGCCGGGCAGGATACGCAGCAGTCTACTACCTCCATCGAGGATATCCTTTTAAAAACCGAGTTCGAGGAGAACAAAGACATTCGGAGTTATCTACGCAAATGGCAGGAGACACATCCAAACATTTTGGACCCGGTCCGAGGACCCGGGACCTCGAGTACATTAGATCCATCGGCTCCTTGGGTGGGAAACATGTTGAACGATAGCAAGGAGGCATTTGATGCCGGTAGTGATGTGCTACGCGAGGCAGACGAGGAAAACCTGGAATTTCACAATATCGGGGACGAAGGAGAAGGAATGGATGAATTCCTACAGCCAGGAGACTTGGTGGCTCTTTCTACGTAGGTCGTGCATAAGTTTTTCACTCTCTAATGCTTGAATTCGCTAACTCATGCTTGTCTCGAAGTGCCGACGGCCTTTTAAGCTTCGCAATCTACGTCCGATCCGTTCACAAACAGCAACAGTTCTATACAGAGCGAGGGAAATGGCGAATTGCTCACAGCAAAGATCTGGACTACGTCGTGAAGGGATTCGCTCCTCCAGAATTGGTCGCTCCCCTTATGCCACATTTTCCGGACACCATGGCTCAAATGAGCTTTGAAATGCAGTCAGCCATTGAAGGCGGAGTGCCGAGACCTGTTGGTGCCCCTCTCTTGCAAATGATCGGTGACTTCGATGCAAAGCTTCAAGATTTCTACCGAGATCGTGCGCATCTCCTAGATAACATGCATGAAATTGTTGCAGATGAGGAAGAGAAGCTAGAATACACACTGGAAGAACTGGCATGCAAAGCCTTGGGCATAGACAAAGAGATGCTGGACGATACCGTCCTATTCGCTGTGCATCAGGCTATACGCCGGAATTCATTCATTATTGAGAATGATCGAAGCTCACTGTTCACAAATCATTACCTTGTGCAACCAAAACGGGTCGCCAGACTCCTCGATACAGTCACCAGATGGGTACATGAGCATCAAGGATACCTCGTCCAGTCCGCGACAGGCAGGCTCATAGGAGAAGAGAAATCCAATATGAAGGACCATCCTCTGCAACAGTTCCTGCAAAAAGCCCAGCGTCTCATACGAGTGAGCAGGAAAGTGCGGTCGCCGACGATTATGGCAAGCGTTGGTCCGACGGCACACCGGTTCGCACCTGGACAAGATGGAAAAGCCATGGTTTATCGCGAAATGCTCACTGAGAAGTTCAGTGATGCCGATCGAATGATCATAGAATATTTGTTGCTATGGTGCATACCTCCTAGGAGAATGAACTCTGGGCCGTTGAGATCGGCCGGTTCCCACATCATGCGCGCTACTGGAATGTATACCAGTCTTGAGCTGAACGCAGCGACCGTAAAGCTGTTCTTGCAAGAAATAGGTGTATTATCTCCTTGGGAAAATTTGCGAGTACTCGACCAGAGTCTGGCTCTTCCGGGACACGGCATCTCGCGCAGGTCGGATGCAACATGGGAGGATGTCAAACAAGCGTGCGAGAAGCTCAATACGGAAGGGCTATCGGACAAAATGCGGAGCATGCGGACTGACTGGGGCGATCTGCCAGTATACTGCGTGGACAATCCTGATGCGCAAGAGATCGATGATGGAGTCTCCTTGGAGCCTATTCCAGGCTCGAATGACACTTTCTGGATACATATCCACATTGCCAATCCCTCCGCATTTGTCGAACCTGACAGCCCGATCATGGAATACGCCGCCGTGCGTAATCAGACCCTCTACGTCCCGGAGCGCACATACCCGATGCTGCCCAGCTCAATGACACAGAGCCATTTCAGTCTGGCTCCTGGTCGCCCTGCACTCACATTCAGTGCCAAGATGAACCTGCAGGGTGAGGTTCTAGAAACGAACATCGCTAATGGCATTGTCAGAAACGTAATCTATATCACGCACGACAAGCTGCGTAGTCTTTTTGAATCCACCACTGAGTCTTCGGAGACCCTGACAGTGGGGAGCACTATTACGCAGCCACACAAGCGGGAAGAGTTACAGAGCTCGCTAGCAGCAGAAGACGAGCGCGCTTTCCATACCTTGCGGAAACTGATGCTGGCATTTCGTGAATACCGGCTCAAGAACGGGGCCATGGAGTGGCCGTCGCCTGCTGACAATTCTGTCTCTGTCTTCGCAGGGACAGCGCCCATGAAACCCTACAACATGGATATCACCGAAGGCCGCTACTACTTGGGCGATCCAGTCATTCAGTTGCGCTTGCAGGACGTCGACCCCCACGAAGTACCTGACCTCACAAAGCGAAATCTCATCTCGACCTTGATGAATTTCGCGTGTTGGATCTCCGGGAAATGGTGCGCAGAGCGCAACATCCCAGCAGTCTACGACGGAACATGCTATCACCCCGAATACACGAGACTAACGAACGAAAACATGGCCGAATACGGAGGAGAAGGATGGCTGCACTTTTCAGCCCCCAAGGGAGTCTCCTCATCGACCCCCATCCCACATATCCCCCTTGGGCTAGACGCCTATATCAAATCCACAAGCCCACTTCGGCGATATGTCGACCTCCTCGCGCACTACCAAATCGAAGCCGCGCTGCGCTTCGAGCACGAACACGGGCGACCCCTAGACGCCGCGAGGGATACCTCTGTCCTCCCCTTCTCCAAGGACTATGTCGACAACTATATCTCCAGGTCACGCTGGAAACGTAACCGCATCAGGGACTGCGACGCTGCGTCCAAGCAGTTTTGGGCGTGCATGCTCCTCTTCCGCGCATTCTACTTTGCTGAATGCGCATTGCCCGAGACGTTCCCATGCCTCCTTCACAAGCCGTATAGCAGTACCTCCATGGCAGGCACCGAGTTCGGACAAGGATACGCGGGCGTCATCACGTCTTTAGGAGTCCGCTGCCAGGTCCTTACTCACAACGTACCGGATGCCAACATCCTCAGCGTCGTTGAAGCTAAGATTACTTCGGTTGATTTGGCCCGCATGCTGGTCGTCATGGAGGCCACGCGAGTAGTCAAGCATTTTGAGCGGGTTGGTGAGTGGCGTTAAGCTAAGACTGGTTCGCTCTTCACTTCTTCTCTAGGTCAGAGAGTTGACGGGAATTGTATTTGATAAATTTTCTTTTTGTGGATATCTCGCCTCTTTTGGTCATCGCAAGGCGTCAGGTTCGTGTACAGTTATAGAACTGTGGTTTATTATGTATCATATGGCGATCTTGAAGAATATAGAGAGCTTCCCAAGCTCCTCACCAAGATTATCTCCTGCATCTGAATGCTTTGCATATCTACAATATCCCAATCGCCTTGCTAGGATCATATGCTTATTGAGCTATGCTCGTCTTTATGTACAAGCCTCTAAGACAGAACCTTATTTACAAACCGACGCTCGAAGCGATCATACACACACCGCAGCACCCTAAGCAGAGTACGTACTACCAATATCACCCCACCTGATCTTCGAAAAAGTCACCGACGTATCGGGGTAGTAGGCCTGTATCAAAGCAGGATCTCCCTCGATGCTATTGCACGGCCCGGCATCGCCACTATCGAGCCAATGCATGAACTGGCGCGTATCATTCCAAATACTGAACGTAAGCACCATGCCCCTACCCAGCGCCTCGCCCATGCGCTCCAAACCACCCAGACCCTTGAACGTGCTCGACCACGAGCAAAAGGACTCCGTGATGGAGCTGCCGGCCGAGACGGCCGCGTTCATGATGATCTTGCCATCCTGCACGTACAGCCGGCGGATCTCGGCCAGTGTGCCTGCCGCGGTGTGATCGTCCGTCACGAACTGCGTGACGACGGTCATCCGCTTGGTGGTGTCGACGGTGAGACCGTAGCCGTAATAATCCCTTGCGCCGAGCACGTAGGGGTTGAAGGTGCAGCCGAGCTTGTCGCAGACGGAGTTGCATTCGGCGCCGGCGCACGCGTACAGGCTGGCCGTGTTGCATGGGTGCGGGGAGAAGGCTGTGGCGCGGGCGTTGGCCTCCCAGAGGTCCATCTCCTGGCAGCAGGCGCCTGCGCCAGCGGTGTTTGCCTCGCCGTTAATCCAGGGGTTGGTGTTGAAGCACTGCGCGTCGCAGTAGCCTGTGCCGTAGGTTGCGCCGGCGGGGTTGAGGGCGCTGCGGCCGCCGGAGGCGTCCATCTCGGAGAGGTAGAGGGCGCCGTTCATGCCGCATGGGAGCTTGGAGGCGTCGACGTCGAAGGCGACTTCTTGGTTGAGTAGCTGCAGCATGTTGTAGTTCTTGCTGTCCTCGGCGAGGAGGTACACGAGCGGCGACAGCCTCTTGATCTGGCCGTTTTGCTCCTGGTATTGGTAGAGCGTCATGGCGTCGCCCGTGGTCTGCACGCCGAAGCTGCTGTAGTCGGTGATGCCTTCGACTACGCAGTTCTGGCTGCAGGTCACCTTGTCCGGGCAGAGGGACGGGTCAAGGCCGCTGCTAGTGGTGCATGGTGTCTGCCCTCCCTTTTGGTGTATCCAGTGTGCACTGATGTCAAGCACGACTGAGGTGCTTTGTGCAACGCAGCCACCCTGAGAAGTGCATCTGTATGTTGTGAGCTGCGGGTGATTCTCGGGGGTCGAACCGATCTGCTGTGCAGTCACAAGGGGAAGGAGTGCCAGCGCGGCTGCTGCAAGTGATCGAGCCATTGTTGCAATTGCATCGACCAAGGATGACGTGCTCAGTCAGTGGACAAATCTTTGTCTGCTCATAGGTACAGCTCTGAGCTTATATATTGGCGCTTCGAGGGAACATATCACACCGAAGGGTATGGAACCACGGTTCGTTTTTGGTGCATATCCCCTTTGAGTCTGGAATGTGCCTGGCCATGCTGCTGCGGAACGGAGATCCGAAATATGAAGATATTGCATCATTTGCATGCTCGGTGTCGAATCCAGTATTGGGATCAGCATAAAGATCGCACTCTGGAACGATGCAAAGAGATCATGCTCATTGATTGGAGGAGGATTTGCTGAAGCAGACGTCCCTGATATCCTTCGCTCCCCACAGTCATTGGGGCAAGGATCTGGGGAACGAGTGGAGTATGGATTGAGTCGGTTTGGAAGTCTTGAATGTTTTGTCATAAGAAAACTTCTGCCTGATGAATGTTCTTGACTTCGAAGACTGTCTCAAGATTGCAAAACTAACTCAGCAAGCGCTTCCGCCGACTGGCGACAATGCCGCTCGATAAGTGGAATTACTCGTTGATCGGCGTGCCATGCAAATACTGCTTCCAATTGATTTGATATGCGTATTATTCCCGTCCAGGCGCGCTCGATGTATGGCATCTCGTCAAATTCCAGGTTTCACTTCTGGTTTTCGCAAGCGATGAATCGGCGGATATCCGCCCAAAGTTCCTTTCCGTCATTGGAGCATCATAATGGTGTGTACAATCTCAGATTACTCGAAACGATCGATGTCAGAATTGTCCCAATTGGGCCCCAGTAACCTTTGAACATGGGCGAATTTACATATTTTGTCGAGCAGCAAATTATACAGGAAAGAACGTACGATCTCGTGACTACAGCCCGAAGACCTCCTTGACGAGTGTCTTCTTGTTTACTGCAGCCATCCATAGTTAGCTTGCTGAGTAGCCAAATGACGAGGTCAAAATCACTCACTCTTCCCCATGGCATTTCTCGGAATTGGCCCGTCAAGGACCTTCATCTCTTGGGGCATCTTGTAGCTCGCTAGCCGGTCTTTCAGGGCGCGCCGCATGTCCATAGGGCCCCAGGGTTTGCCGTTGCGACCTGTTTTGGCTGCTACTTCGGAGTTCAGGACGACTACCGCTGCGACCTTTTGACCCCATTGCTCGGATGGAAGGCCAACAACGGCGGCTTCGGTGATCTGAGGGCTGAACAAACAAGTTAGTCTGAATGCACTGGCGAGAGGAAAAGGTGAGCATACAGTGAGAGTAACTCCCTCTCAACCTCCAACGCGCTGACTTTCTCTCCACCCGTTTTGATGATATCGACGCTCAGTCGACCCTGGATGAAATACATTGGGCCTCTGGCCCAGTCACCGCTGGTCCCCCTGCCGGCCTTCTCGACTACCCGGCGGGTAGCGACATCGCCTGTTTTGAACCACTTGCCTTTCCCATCTTCGCTATCCACGAAGGCCTCCTTTGTAGCCTTCTCGTTGGCCCAGTATTCGCGGAAGATCGTCGGCCCACGAAGCTGGATTTCACCTTCCCGCTCACGACCGTTGCCATCGAGCTCCTCCCCGGGCTTGATCACTTCGTTCGTGTCTGTGTCGACTAGTCTAGCCTCCACAGACGGCAGCGGCCAGCCGACACTTCCGTCCACGCGGTCCGCGAAGTCGAGTCCACAGCTGATGGTCATACCGACCTCAGTCATGCCAAAGCGCTCAAGGAGGACATTTCCATTGCTGAGATCCTGCCAGGCTTGCTTCGTCGGTGTCGGGAGAGCCGCGGAGCCAGAAATGTTCAAGCGGAGATTCTCGGGCGAGATGCCCTTCTTCGCAGCTTCCTGAATTTCGGGACGTAGGCTGGGAAAGCTCGAGAGCAATCGGTTGTAGATCGTCGGCACAGCTGTGAGGAATGTAATCTTACTCTTAGAAGTGCTGTTTGGTAAAAATGGCGCTGCAAGCCTGTTCCACACGGCGTCTGTGTTGAAAGGAAACATGAATTCAATAGAAGATCCGGCAAGTAAAGGTGTTACAATCGCATTGACAGTTCCATGGATGTGATGCAGTGGAAGAAGGTGAAGCAATCGATCTTCAGGGGCATATTTCCACGCCTCTAATAGCGAAGACGCTTGTGCCGTGAGTGCTGATTGAGGAATGAGAACGCCTTTCTAATTGATAGTCAGTCAAGAAAATCTCCCAGTCAATAAACTGAATGTAACGGAAAAGTCAATGCCCTACCGGCCGGCTCGTAGTCCCAGAAGTATAAAGCATCATCCCACCAAGCAATCTATCCCCGTCGGGTTCCTCCAAAGAGACCGGGTGCGAGCTAGTCCCACCCACTTGGATCTTCTCCTTGATATCCAGTACGGGCTCTGTATTCAACCCAGCCTTGAGCAGGTCGTGCGCCTTATCCGCATACTTCTGAGTAGAGACCAACACCTTGGCCTGGGAGTTGTCGAGGATGTACTTGAGTTCGCCGACAGGGAAAGCTGGAGAAAGAGGGAGAGCAATCGCATTGCTTGCAAGGATGGAGAGGAGTGTTACTGCAGGTCAGGATTAGCCATTAGGCCAAGGTAGCGGGTGATTCACCCGGAATACTTGTACAGAGTAGAGAAACAGTACCTACGTAATCGTAGCTATTCTCCGCAAGGAATGCAATCCTCTCCCCAGATAGCGAATCCTGCCTTCCCCCGACAGATCCTAGCAGGCGTTCTTTTGCCTGCAGCACGTCCGCGACCAAATTACCATAGGTGAAAGATCGCGAAGATGCGCTATGAACGACGGCGAGGCTTGAGGAGTCATGATCTTTGAGCGCACGAAAGAGAGGAAGATTCGGTAACGTTGACAACGAACGAAGCGAAGCTGGCGTGCTCGCGTTCTGAACTCGGCTGATAAAGGGCTTGCAAGCAAATGCTGCTCGGACGGCCCGAAGGGACGGAGAGCCCCGAGAAAGCAATGACATCAGATTGCGTCGTTGCATGGCGGATTAGTATCCCTGAGAGCGTCTCATGTAACTCCTCCACTTGCGGTATTCCAACGAAGTCTGGGTTATTGCGAGATGTCAATGCCCAAGATCAATTGCTGCGCGGTAAATTGATGTCATGGACGGAGGTGCTCCGGAGCTCTGCGGTTTGGCGTCTTACCAGTTAGCACACGTAACGCCAGAAACGATCATGGAGGCAATGAAAGACGAGTACATACATTGGGCACTAGGATGAATTCCTGCAAAATCAAGCCGAAGAAGCAGTACAAAAATAGAGCAGATGATAACATCCGAATTCCACCTCAAGGAACATTGCGGAGCAAACCATCATCCACGAAACGCTATCCCCGAAACAGCATCCCGGCATCACAGGCCCAGACCCGAGGAGACCATACGACTTACAACCCCAAACAAGACCATTATCCTCTGCAAGAGACGTCTCTCTACCGAACCATCCTCAGTTTACAAAGTCCCCAAAGGCCCAAACAACCCGTCAATGCTCCCCCTCCGCAGCCGACCAGGCCTGCTCCCCCGCCGCCTCTTCTCCCCGCTCAGAAGCACCCTCCCATCCAGAATGTCGTCCACCTCCACGACACCGATGGAGGATACCATCCGCGAGAAGGTACCGAGCATATTGGCACAATCTCCGCTTTCCTTAAAGACAAACAGCTAACCCATCGCTCGACATAGATAACAACCGCCTTCTCCCCCTCAACCCTCGTCATCCGCAATGACTCGCACCTGCACGCGCACCACGCCCCGATGCAAGGCGTAGTGTCGAAAGAGACGCATTTCCAGTATGTCTCTGTTATACTGTCAGGAAAGAAGGGAGGGGTGGGGATGAGCTAATGTGTATTTCTACAGTGTCACGATCACATCCTCTGCTTTCCAGTCGAAGATGCAGCCCGCGCGGCATCGGATGGTCTACGCTCTGCTTAAGGATGAGATGAGTCGGGATGGGGGAATCCATGCTCTGCAGTTACGGACGAGGACGCCGGAGGAGGAGGAGCGGGAGAAGGCAAGGCAGTCGCAGGCCTAGGGCAGCAGGGTGTGCTGTGGTCATAATAATGCCGGCTGACTGTCTGATCTGTGAGGTCTGCTGGCTGTTGGGATGTCATGGTTAGAAATAGACCCAAATCGGTGACTGGGTAAGGTTCTCTGTGTATATATATACTTTCGTAATGAATTAGAGTTTGATTATTACATAGATTCTAGCGCCAACGGCAGCAAAAGCGAGAAGAAAATCTAATATGTACATGTGCAACAGCATCATGCGTATCCTAGTCAACAGCAGCGACGAACCATCAAGTCGCATATTATCGGACATGAAGCAGAGATACACGACCCAGAGATACAAAAAGCGCAGGGGGGAGAGCCAAGGTGAGATGGAGAAGGAATTCGCAAGCTGCCGTGCTTTTCAAAACGAGGAGAAAATTTCAAGACAGGGTAAAACACAGGAGAATGCGATCGAGTGGTATAAGAAAGTTACACAAGGAAATTTCGAGGCGAAAAATGAACGGTCTTCGAGCAGCTCGGATGGCCAAGAAGATGAGTGAAGCGGAACCAGGCATCGGGTTATGATGCCACGCCAAATTATCCACTTTCGCTTCCGCATTGCATGGGCCACGTATAGCGAAAGGTTAGTGCAGAGGACGAGACAGGGGGATATCGAGAAGCCTGATGTAGCGACGCAGATTTTCGAGCGCGGAGTAGATCATAAGCAGCCGACAAACGTATTCTGCAAGCCGTTTGGTGCAAGCATCTTTCAAGGATGACCATTTTACTATTTGTTGGCCTGGGTGACACCAACAGCAACACCCACAACGATGGCAATGATCAGAACTAGGGTAACAGTAAGTCAGCTGAAGGCTTTTACAGCGAGGCCAAAGATAATACATACTGACGATGAGCAGCGCATACCACTTCCACTTTCTGGCATTGCGCGCGCTCTTGATTGCGTGGTCAATCTGGGTGTTTGCATTCTGAACATTGTCGACAACATCCTCGGCGCCTTGATTGATCTGCTCAACAGCAGCATCTTGTTGATGCACCAGCTCTGCAACTTCCTGGTACAAACGGCCCAGCTCAATCATATCCTGTTCGATCTTTCGAATAGCGGCGGATCGCTCCAAGGCAGCTTGTCTGGCGTCATTGGCCTGTCTGGTTCTGCTACCGGTAACCTATCAGAAGCAAATCAGCATCTGCCTAAGATATTTAGAATGACAGGTTCTCTCGTACCTGGAAGCTCTGCTCTTGGCCCATCAAAACATTATCAACGCCCTGTTCAATCTCATCGGGAGTAGCCTCTGGGTTTGCGATCTCGTATCGTCGGCGCACCTGCTCGCGCAACCGCTTCTGGAAATCCGACTGGGCTCTCTGGTACTGCTCAATCTCCCGACGCAAGTTCCGGCTTGTCACATCGACCTGAGTCTGAACACGGGTGTCTCCGGAGCCAGGAGTCTGCTTGATCTTCTTCAGGAGGTCCCGGAGGTAACGGAAACCGTTGTTGATCTCGTCTTCGATGTAATCGAGTGTCTGACGGGAGGCCTGATCTTCCTTTCCGGTACTCGAGTCAAGCAAAGCGTTCTGTGCGGCGGCGAGCTGGCCCTCTCTCTTGGCTCGCAGATCGGCAATACCGTCGTTAATTTCTTTGCATTTGTTCAGCAATGCGGTCGGGCCGGATGGCTGCTGCTGCTGCTGGCCGTAACCACCCATGGCGGACATTTCTGGAGGAGGCAACATGCGTTAGAGACATTCGCTCAACCTGAGGCTATGAGAAGTCCTACCATAACTACCATTGCCCTGCTCCATGTTGCCGGCTTGCTGGTAGGGGGATTGGCCGTAGCCTTGTTGTTGGCCGCCGTAGGCATTGTTTTGCTGCTGGCCATAAGGGTTGTACTGGCCGTAGCCACCCTGGGAGTTGTTGTAGTCCGCGTACTTCACATAGCGAAGATGTCAGTATAAAGTTTTCGTGCTTGGGACATTCGCAAGGGAAAGGGGTAGCCATTAAGAACATACACTCATGATGTAATTATGTTAGAATTTCCTATAAGTGAAGACAGAGATGAACTAATAAGCTCCTTTTTCCCTGTTGATCCCGATATGGGTTGTTTTATGATCAGGTCGCAATTCTTCGACTCCTCTGGTGCAAGGGCGATCGCGGGTTCCGGGATTCAGGAGGTTGACAAAATGCGCTGGACAAGAGCTTAGCCCGGGTTCCCCGACTGTCACTAAAGCAACGTACAGTAACGGAGCGAAGAGGAAGAACTAAAGAATGGGAAACGAGTATGACAAAAGAGAAGAAGTGGGAGGTTTGAATAAGTCAAAAGGTAAAAAATGAACGATTGAAGAATAGGGACGAAATGACAGGGTGAGACACGCGGCTGAGCAGACAGTGGCGGGCGGAAAAGGGAAGCAGAAGCGCTCTCCCAGAGTCCCAAGGGTTGGCTGTGGCTCTGAATTCCTTCGGAGTTGACAGTAGGCAAAGTTCTGGACCCGCAGGACGGCAACAAATATCAGAAAAAGAAAAAAGAAAAAGTGATGACGATCAGGGTGGTACAGAAGCTGATCAACAACTATTTAACTATTCAGAGAAGACAGAGATGAAGGTGGTAAGGATACTCACTATCATAGGTACTACATACTACTTTGTTCTCGTTCACTTTTCCCTCGTTCTTGAATATCGTTTGTGGGAATGTGGCTGATGCTGGAAGCTAGCTCCGTTGCAACTACTTTTGATTTGTTTTGATGGTGATAAATGATAATATACGCGGCTGTTAGTAGGGAGCTCCTGGATGATGCACAGACCAAAGTGGATGATCGTCAAGTCCCCTTTTCCTCCCTGGCTCACGTTCCCAAGACCAAATTAATAGCTGTGAAACATTACGGTCGGAAGCTAGTGGTGATGGGCTATGGTTTCACCTTTTGATGAGCTTGACACAGAGTAGACAGTGGTCTATCTGCACATACCTAGTCACTTGAAGCTATTCAACTGCCCTCTGGTCCTCGTTCCTATCTTCGAACAATCGTTGCCTGCTCAGGCAACCATTATCTCGCCGTCAGGCTGTGCAATCTGCTGCTGACATATCCCGCACATCCGAGGATTACCATTTCCGGCATGCCACGGTACAGGAGAGCCGGTTCGTTGGAATCCTCAAGTATGGTACGGATTGCGCTTCAATTCCACAGAGAAGTATTGACTACGGAGGCGTTGAGTCTGCACGTCATCGTTATGCATACATTTGGTCAACAGCACAATCAGAGCCTCAGCAATTGTTTCTAGAACACTGTCAACGCTGGTGGTTCCGCTTGATTATGGCCTGGATAGCTACCTCACCATAGAGGTACCTAGGTTATTCTGATATTATCCGTACCTGACCAATGGCCCTTGCTTGTTCGAATGATTGATCATTCGATACGTTAACGGAAATTTAAGCTACGAGATAGAGGGATATTATGGAGCAGTTCTTTGGTAAGAATGGCCCGATCTATCTATGTATCCCCAGCATCCCACATCAGTCCCTTGCACCGTTGCACGCCGTTACCCCACAGCATCAAAATAGCCCAGATACGAACCAAAAACCTAGCAACTATCACATCAAATATCCGAATTATCAATTCAAGTCATAGTTTGATTGTTCGGGTTCATATCCTATCATTTCTCCAGATCATACGTAAACTGCAGGTCTTGTCGTTGCAGTATTAGGCCCACCCATTCGGCAGTATGTGGGTTCCGAGGAGGCGAGGACCCTGACCGATGAACCGCATTGTGGGCTCGGTCCCCAAAACACAACCTGATTTGTCTTGCAGACTTGCAGTAGTAGCTGGTCTACTCACGAATGAACGGTCATCAGCTTATGATTCTGCCTGGGTCAGCTTATAATTAGCAACGATCGTCAGATGCCAAAATGGCTTAGCACACAGCCTCAGTGGTGTGGCTTGACAATTGCACATTTGTATGCCAGGCTTGACACGAACTGACCATGGTTCCTTCCTGAATTATCAGGCATGAGCACAATACACTGCTGTCAACCAGACCACATTGATGTCTCTTTGAAATATCAACCATGCTAATATTCTTCAATCCTGAAGCACGTTAAGAACGTCATAGAAGTTGTTATCCAATGCCAGATCTATGGCTCTTCTGCCAGAATTGTCCCTCGCTTGCACATCGATACCATCATACTTCAAAAGGAGCTTCACTGCCTCCAAATGTTCGCCCTCCGCGGCATAGTGTAGGGGAGTTCTTCCCCTACAATCCACCTGCTCTTCGAGACGAACAAGGGTTTTCCCCTCATCTGTGTCCAATTCCCACTCCGATACGGAGACATTGGGAAGATAGATATTTTGAATTTCCCCGCGACGGGGACCTCCAATCGTCAACTTGTCCTCCTTAGGCTCGTCCATATAAATGTAGTGCTTTCGGAGAAAGGACGGGACGCCAAGAAGACTTCTCCGGTATTCGATCTCTTGTTCTATCATATGCTGCTCTGTAGGAGACTCAAGATTCTGGTTCATTGTCTTATTCTCGTGGATCTCTCCTGCCTCGGCCAATGACCTCCACACGTTGGACCTCGGACGAAAGATCTGTTGCGGATTAAGCAGTGTTTTGAGTGTGTAGATGTCACCATTTGCAGCAGCAAAGTGGAGGGCGGTCTTTCCTGAGCAGTCAGTCCAGTTGACAGCGTCTGCGAGACGCTCCATTCCCGGTCTCTGAAGCACATTACTGTAAGCGAACGGGAAAATGGTTACCCCTGTGCACTCGGCTTCGTCGAAAATTTCCGCGAGCCACTTAATTCCCAGGCTGTAAAGGTAAAGTATATTGGCAGCGATTACAGAATTTCCCTGCTCACAGGCCATCATCAGAAGAGTGCGTCCTCGATTGTCGGCAACTGTGATGTCTGCACCGTGCTCGACGAGAACCTGGAACATCTCTTCCTGCTCCAGACTGCGCTTGATGTTCCATCTTCTCTCTCTGGTAACAAACCTCCACGACGCTTGCCCTCGAACACCACAATATTGGGCGTCGTTCGCGTCATCTTGTACATCGCTTTGACTGTGTGAGATCGTGTACTCCTCTGACTTACTTGAGCAAAGAAGTTGAAGTGGCGTCTGTCCTTTCACGTCTTTCACATTGGGGTCGGCTTTGTGTTCGAGGAGTAGGTAGACAAGGTCCCGATTACCCATTTCGACAGCGTGATGCAACGGCACTTTTTTGTCGTTCCCCGACGCATTGACGTCTAAATTTTGGCGCGATAGGAGCTCCCTCATATCTTCCCGATGCTCATGGTCTTCTAGCCTACGAGCTGCACATATCCGATGAAGTAGTGTATCACAACCATTCGCCACTGAAACAGGATCCGCGCCCACTCGCAGCAGATAAAAGACGGTAAAAATATTGCAATGTTCCCAAGAGTTCCGACCAGAGGCGATCTGCAGTGCACTATTGAGCAGCCTCTGCCGTTCATATGTGGGAATCCTTTCCAACAGTAAGTCTAAGATCTTCTCATCCCAGCCGGCCGAATTGGGTTGACTGACGGCAGCGAGGAATGCGGGAGATGTTTGTGTTTCGATGTCGAAGACAACAAGAGAATCACACTCTAGAAGAGACTTCACCAAGCGCCCTCTGAAAGCGCGCGGCGATGCCTCTTCCATAACTACCTGCAGAACGGTTTTGCCCTCAGCGTTCGTTGCATTGGGATCTGCCCCATTTCTCAAAAAGCAGACGAATTTTTCATGGCTGCAATCGTCGAGCGTCCGCAGAATTGGCGGCAAACCGCACTTTCCACCATTATCAGGGTCTGCTCCATAGTCAAGGAGTAATTCTAGAGCATCTGTGGAGTCATTCATGTACGCTGCGGCATGGAGAGGGGTCTTTTCATCGCGGTTTTCTGACTCTGGCGAAATTCCTGCCTCGAGGAGCAATCGAATGGTTTCCAGATTGGGAGATTGGCGACATACTGCCTCATAAAGGACTGGCGAAGCTGTTCCGGGACTCCAGTCGGGATCGTCCTTCAATATCTGCAGCAAGTGTCTGACAGCATCTGTTGGCCAACGCTGTTGAATTACATAGATAAGGAAATCATTTCCTTGCGAATCAGTCAGTAAAGGATCAGCTCCGCAATCTCGCAGAATGTCCATCATCTCCATGAGGCTCGCCGCTTCAGAAACGTCATTGGTGGATCCTGACACGGCTTGATTTCGAGTGTTCACTGGTCGCCTGAGCTGGGCAAATGTGCTGACTCGACCATGTCGTAGAGATGTGTCAGTGGACCACAGCACCCGCTTACCATGAAAATATGTACGAGGTACAATGAACAGGTCTTGCGGACGAAAGACGTAGACAAGCGCCTCTGTCAGAGCAGGCCATCTGAGGTCATATGAGTGGCTTGATAGCCCTCTGTCTACAGGGACGCCTGCATTGACGAGATATCTTGTCAATCTTGGCCAGCACTTGCGGACAGCGAGTCCGAGTAGCGTGCGAGCCGCTTCGGATCTCTCGTAAGGTTGCGATGCCAGTGTGTCTGCTTGCAGGAGCTTCAGCACCATAGCTTCTGTAACTGATTCCGACTCAAGGACCGCGCGGAGAACTTTCTCCGCCGGCGATAGCCACCCGTCGTAGTTGGAAAGAGGCAAGTTTCCTGTCCAGCGTTGCCGCTCCGGGTCATCAGTCCTGACAACATGTAGGATGCTTCGGCCTGCAACGACTATCACGTCGATACAAAACCGCAGTAACAGGGGCATGGCGAAACTCTGAACATAGCTGGGAGACAGAATTGGAAGGGGGATGCGAAATAGGCGTCTGACAAAGCGCTCCTTCAACCTGTGAGAAAGAGTGTCGGTATAAGTCCACCAATCGAGATATCGAGTCCGTAAATCGGCATCCGAGAGAAGGCTGGCACGCGAAGCGTGCATGAGGAACCAAAAGTAGCGACTCCCGTACAGGCCGACGTTTTGCAAAAAGCCAGGAGACAATGACATGGCCAGCTTGTGCATTGCAAGAGGCGCCAGGAGGGCTATGCCAGTTCTGACGACCGTACCCTTCAGCGCAGACGCTAGCCACCGGAGCTTATGCCAAATAGTAGGCGATCGTTGGTTGTCACTGTGCGACTCCTTCATACAAACGATGGGGCCGCGCTTAAGAAGGAGGTCCAATATCTCCTCGCTCCCGTTGCAGACGGCCATAGAAAGTACATGCTCACGTCTGAAGAGCCCGGCATTAGGATCAGCCCCTGCGGCTAGAAGATTCGCAACAGTGGTAGCATTGGATTCTTTCACTGCTTGTAGCAGCTCCTCTTCAAGCCAAAGTGACATTATCCGCCTGACTTTCAGATGGGCTTGTAGACAAGCAGAGACCTGGAGCAATCTCTTTCTACAAAGACGACGGGGGCAAATGGCTAGAACTTAAAAGGCGCTTCTACAGGCCTGCGCCTGACCGCATCCTTCAGCCTTGCCTTGGTCTATTCAGGCGCTTAGCTGAAACCACTCGTCGGGCAAAGGTCAAGGCTTCACCTTCGTATTCCGCAGTGTTGCTGATTGGAGCATTCCCTTTTCAAAAAGCAAGTAGATTCAGCCACAGTATCCAGGGCTGCTGACTGTCAGCCAAGCCCATCATAGCCTCCTTTGAATCAGGCGTCGGTTATGAACTTTCTGAAACCATAAAGTCAGTGGAGTACCTGGCTCGTGGAGAGCCTGACAACGACTCTTTGGCAGTCGAGATCACTCATCATGGTGTCCGATAACCTGCTGTCCTCATTGTCGGCATACGCCACTATTGTGGCGGTTCCGATCGGGCTAGCGACCCTCGCCCTCACGGAGCGCGGCTCGAGTATGCTCACCTCCGCCTCGCGAAATGCGCGAACGGCCTTACGACCGTCAGAAGGGACCTGCGGAAGGAGGCTCTGGGTGGATTTGAAAGATGGTCCGCTGCACACCTCCATTTGGACGGCGAACAGTTACCAGATGTCGCATACGAAAGCCGCGCGGTGCTGGGAAAGCACTCTTACTACCGTCGTGAGCAATTGGAGTCCAGCTTCCTACGTAGTCGAGAAGCCCGAATGTCTGCCCCTATCCAAGGAGTTCCTTCACGTCGATCTCCGAGTCATCTTGGCGTTCGTCTTTATGGCCGTCCTCAAAGAGAGGTCTCGGCAAACAGAATATCGGTCCGGACCACGAACTTTCGCTATGAGCGGTGCTGTTCTCGAGGTACAAGTCATCAAGCCAGATATTGTGATCTTGCATCTTGAAGGAACCATCCAGAGGACGTTCACAAAGGATTACGTCCAACGCCTTTTGGGAGGATACCCACCTCTGCTCGTAGACCCACAGAACGTGAGTGTCTTCAAGGCTGGTGATGAGACACGTGGCGGATGGGTCGTCGCGCTGGGCCTTGCATCGAACTACGACCCGGAGGACGTATTTTTGCCGGTGTACTCTGACTGCGTGAGGTATCACAGCGACCGACGCGGGCGTGTCTTTTGGCGCTCGATGGACCGCGTACGACTTATCCTCGAGAGTATTTGGGCGAAGGCCTTCAAGGATGACGCGGTAGCATACAAGCAGATAATCAGCGCCATCAATGCACTTGAATTCATTCACAAGTATGAGACGGAAAGTGGAGTGGACCAGATTTTCAATATAGCGACACCGCCGAATCTTCTGTCGGTACAGGATCAGAACCGGATCATTGCACACTTCAACGGACCACCAAGCATTGCAGATGATGAAAAACAACAACGGCGGTTCCGCGCTGAGTGGCAGCCATTGCTGCGCTATGTGTTGATCGCTGCAGTGAAGGGATCGGTCGAATGTATTGCGTACTTTAAGAATCCAGGCCGTGAGCTGGAGCACATTCTCCCAATGGAGGTCCTGAAGTCAGCGAGGCTTTACCTTCGAGGTTGTTAGCTTGATCTGAAGAATGAACTGTCTTCCTGTGACGTTAGGTCTTAAGGGTGAAGTCATCGAATAACTTCTGCTGATGCATTTCGACAATAGCAAGCTCAGAACCTTTGATGTGCTTTCATAGTCTCTCGAGCCTAAACGAGGCCTTTCCCGAACCTCCGTTTAGTGCTAGATCAACATCAGGCCTGTGGGAAGTTGTTGACTTGTTGCAGCTGTATCCAGTTTCTGACGTTCACTAGTTCCGAAATAACGGGAGCTCAGGAGCAGCCGAAGAGAGGCGTACGCGTCAACCCATAAAATGCATCTTCGTCGAACAACTTCCAGCGTAGACTAGCCCTAACCTCTGCGTACTTGTGAAAAGCCAGAAAAGCTTAAATCTAGCTTGACTTCAGCGCCACAAGATTGATGAGTTTGCAAGAAAGCCATTCTATCAAGATAAGGTATTCTGTACTCAATTGACTCTGTATCACCATCTATCTACGGAGTACAGTACCTTAGGCTTGACCTTGCGTCCTCCGTACGGGCATATCAGCATGCAGAGTCACAACACTGAACACACTCAAAACAAAGGAATCCCTCACCTTCATCCTTATCAACCAACAACGTCAACAGCCTACTCAAACTCAAGGAATTATCTACCTTCCCAGGCAAAGTTAGGCGACCTCCATCACGCTCTCTTCACTTTTCACTTTTCACTTTTATTTCCTTCAAATAAATTCAAATCCAAGCGCCAAGCGCCAAGCGGCAAACCAGCCACTTGTTTTTCCTGCAGCCGTCGGCCCACCCCGACAACCAAATAACCCTCTAACCAGATCAGGCCTCGGCCTTCGACATCCCCACTGACTGACCCAGTCCCTGCGCCAAGCTAAGCTTAATCAGTCAAGACATGAGTAGCCTTCATTCAATAGCATGCCGCAAAAGGACTAATCTCTGAGGATATGGGGCGGTCTAGCTGCATTCAGGCCTGAATAATCAATACCTAAGGTACCTTGGAGAGACAAAGACTCCACTGGTGCACCTGTTTTAACCCTCTTTCTGACTCAGGTACTCCATACGGCGTACAGGTTCTTATCAAACTTGGGATCTGATTTGTGATTGTTTTCTGTCATGTTTTGTTCAGCGATTATAAATTGGAATAGTATAACAGTCGGTGGTGGGCCCACTGTGTCTGACTTGCGCTGTGGTGTGACTGTCTGCCTAAGTTGGGCTGTCTGCGGCCGCGTGCTTGCTTGCCACGTGTTGGGACTGGAGTGTAGTACAGTAGTACAGACTACGGAAGACTCCATGTGAATGCGGAGATGGCTACCTTACGATAGAAGACGGAGGTGTTTAGACGTCATCGGAACGTGTCTCATTTATTTACATCTATCTCATCGCTCAGATCTGCTCAGCAGGTGCTGTTACGCGTGCCCGCGCGAGTCCAAGTAGAGCTCGTCCAGCGTTCATCCGAACATTAAGAAGAGAAACATTACTATACAGTAGAGAATAAAAGGGGAGAATCATAGACCTAAGGTCTAGTTCTTGTCCTCATGCACGGGGGCAGGAGGAGCATCCGGGTCGTCGGCGTCGAGCTTGTTCATGTCATCCTCCTGGGAGTTGAGGTGGTGGAACACGAACCAGAAGATGATACCGACCAAGAAGGAAGCGACGGCCAGACCGACGAACATCCACATGATGGCTGGGTCGAAGGCGGCGGGGGTCAAGGCCTCGGCCAGGGCGGAACCGAAGGCGTTGGTGAGCAGGTACATGGACTGCACGAACGACTTCATCGAGGGAGGGGCCTTGGTGTAGGCATACTCCAGACCGGACACGGAGGCGAAAATCTCCGAGACACCGATGAACATGTAGGCAGGAGTCTGGATGGCAATGTGGACTCTGTTGCCTTGGGACTCGCCGTCGACAATAGAGGCGTCGCAGAGAGGGTGCTCGTAGCAAGGGCCAGCAGAGTAGATGAGGTGCTGCACAATAGCGGCGTACATCATGGCAAGAGAGGCGACGATGAAACCCAGGGAGATACGAGTGATGGGACGGAAGCGAATGTGCAACCGGCGCAACAGAGGATAGACGAGGGTCTCCAGGATAGGGATGAAGACGATAATCGAGATGGGATCAAAGTTCTGCATCAGATCGTTGGGAATACCGTGACCCTGCATCTGCGCGGCCTGAGTGACGAAGTTACCGGAGAACTGGCCATAGACGACCCAGTAGATGGGGAAGAAGCAGAAGACACGGCAGGCGACCAGAGCACGCTTGAGCTCATCAATAAAGTGATCATCCCAAGGCAAGTTGGTTCGGTTGCCACCATTGGCAGCCTGCCAGCTGGGCTTGGGTGCATCCATGTTGCGGTTGACAATCATAATTCCGAGAGCCTTGAAGGCGTCGGTAATGATCGAGCCCTGAGGGGGGCGGACAACGTAGTACTTGCGGCCAACAATAAGCACCAGGGTACCACAGGCGAACATGCAGAGACAGAGCAGGTATCCGGACCAGAAGCCGATATCCCGCTCCATGTAAGGAGTAGCCAGCAGAGACAGAGAGCCGAGGTTGATGCAACCGTAGAAGATCATGTAGATACGCTGGATGGTCAGAGCAGGATCGATGATGACCCGCTCACCCTTCTTGGTGGTCGAGACAGCCATCTTCTTGCGCTTGTACTGATCGGCAATCAGGGGAGCGACGTTACTCTTGATACCACCAGTTCCCAGGCCAATGACCAGAATGGCGACAACGAAACCACCAAGACCAGCACCGTGCTCGAGAGCAGTAGGGATCGAAGTGCAGACCAGGATCAGCAGACCGACCAGGTACACGCCGCAGAAGAGCACAATGGTCTTGTACTTTCCGAGGTATTGATCGGCAATGATGGCACCAAGAATAGGAGTAACTAAACCGAATGATGTCAGTATATTCGTCACTGTTTGAAGCTCAAGTATAACATGTCTCACCATAGCACCAGAACTGGAAGAAAGTAGTCAGACCGGTGGCACCCTGGTGACCCAAACCGAGAGCACCGCGTCCCTTGCTACCGTCCAGAGGGTTGTTCACGTAGTTCTGGAACAGACCCGACATGCCGTAGTAGGTGAAACGCTCGCACAACTCGACAATAGCCACGAGCCAGGCGGAGACGGGCAAGTTTTCTGCGATATGACGGAGATTCTTGGCCTCCTCCTCAGTAGGCTCCTCCCCATCGGGAGTGTCTAGGGAAGCCTTTTCCACGGCATACTGGTCCTTCTCGTTCAGAACAACCTCGGAGACAACATTGTCCTGATGGTGAGGTCTGTTGAAGATCAATGGAGTCAGAAAAATTGCGGCGGGAGAGAAGATACGGTGAGAGGGTGTAGGAGGGTGTTGCAAGCGACACTTACAGAGTAACCTCAACCTCAACCTCTTGATCTCTGGTAGACATTTTGCAAAGAGGAACCAAGCAAGGACTGCCCGAGCCGTGTGGGGGGGAAGGAAGTTAAAAGGCTTGTTGTATCCTCGCGAGTATCGAGCGAAAGAGAAACCCGAGGAGGGGAGGAGACCGACCTTATACTCGCGCTGGAGGGAGGAAATGAGGGCCAATGCGGGACCGTCTTATCTCTGATTCACTCAGTCAGGCGAGCCGCGAACCCTCAATTGCGCGATCGGCGGAGAATTGAAAGGGCTCCGCGTCGTTTGTGTGTCTGAGAAACTCTGGACGCTGGACACTGGGGACTGGGATAGTGTGGCAGGCGAAATCAGAAAAGGGAAGGCCGAAATGTCTTGGCATGCGGCCAATGTAACCTCATAATCCGCATTTTGTGAGCGAAGATATGACAAGCAGTGTCAAGCATCAGCCGAGCAAAGGCCAATCCGCCTTCTGATTGGCTGCGGGATCTGGGCCTCGCTTTTGATCTTTTCTCGAAGACCGGTGGCACCAATTAATTTCACCCAATCAGCTCCCTGAACCAGTCGGAGCTTACCGGTGGAACCGCACGAAATCTTTGTTTTTCGCCTCGTGGCTATTGCCCACTGTGAGTCTGTGGCCCTGTGCAAGTCCTTCCGTTATCAGCAAGAAATAATCGGAGAAATATCAGGATAAAAGGTGCGGAAAAAGGAAAAAAAGAAAAAAAAAAAAAAAAAAGGATTTTTTTCCATAGTAAATTCAATTCATGGTTCTGCCTTTTTTCTTCTCTCTCTTCTTCTTTCCTTCTAAAAACCTTCGAATAAGGTACACCATCAGCTTGGAGTTCGAAAGCCCCGGTATCACTGTCCCGTACAAACTGACCTCGGTTAGGTTGTTTCTGTGCCGTGGTTTATCCGACTAAAAAGTGCGTGCATCGAAATGCGAAATAGCCATTTTTCCTTGCATGTCGGATGATTGGACTGTTATTGCCACCGGGGGACATTCCGCATCCGGTAATTAGGTAACATAAATGTCGCTGACAAGGGCCATCAGCAGGGTTTCCATCCACCCTGGCAGATAAGCACGGCATCGCCCATTCGTAGCACTGAATGAGGGATTGCAATCGTCCAATCGATGCTTGCAAAAGTCTCAAGTTCACTTTTGGTCTCGTCGAGGTCTGGGGCCAACGTCGAATCTCCCATTTCCCCCGCCCCTGTACGATGGATGATGGATCACCATGACACCACTTGATCGTGTGCACGCGTGTAACGTCGGGGCACCCCGCATGCTAATCATTTCCCAAGACACATTTGTTGCTGTCAGCATCCATTGATAACCGAGTGAGCCGTTCGAGATACTGGTAGCTATCTGTTTGGGTTCATTATGCGCCGGTTGTAAGTGGTCATGTCTCAGAACCTGGACTTCACCTTGCTTGTTTCCAGCTGGGGAAGATCCTGTAGCTTGTGAAAGTAGACATTTCATGCCCCGTAATCAACTCCATAATCCGTAGGTCTTCCGCTTGCAACGTTACCCCAGGTTGCGGAGAGAGATCACAGATCAGTCATTTCGTATCATACCCCATTCAAATGTAACTGCCAATGGTCATTGCCACCGCTTTGGCGATTCTTGAACTCAA